ACAGATATATGAGACAGGTATGGGAGTTGAAAGAGGAAGAAGTGAAAGAAAAGTGGATATGGGCAAATCGATCTTTTGCTTCCAAATTTTAAAACCATTTGTTATTAAGTTTGAATATCATATGAATCTGTGTACTTCAGCGTATTCAGATCGGAATTTAGTTAAAAATTTCGATTTAATTAACTAGAATTGTAATTTTAAACAATAATATATAAAAATTCTAGTTTTAGAAACTATTTATTTGAAAAAGTTTTGTTTTTTTATATTTTGTATAAGAAGTTTTAAGAGACTGATCAATCTTCAAAATATTGGTGTTGACGCGTTATAACGCGTCAATACATGACAGAAACAAATCTAAACAATTTCAAAATATTTTTAAAATATTCTATTCACAAACTTTTTTATAAGTTGCCAAGCAGAAGAAGCATAAATAAATTTTTATGTTCAATACATTTTTAAACAAGTTTCCAACAACTATGACATTTAACCTAAAATATCTCGAATAGTAAACAGGTGATTATATATAGATTGAACTTTTCAAACCTCAGTTGAAAACGTCAAAACATATTTTTAAGTTTAGAATGTATGTATATTTATATGACACTATCTTCAATTCCCATAATTAGTAAATCTGTCACCTAGTTTTACTTGTCAATAGAAATTTTGTTTTATCACCAACATCTTTATGTACATACATGTGTCTCTACTATTAATGTTTATAAACATAAACATAAATGCATACATATGTATGTGTGAATAATATTTATTTATTAAATGTTTTCAAAAATAAGACAGATTTGGATTATAGTCAAACATAAATATTTTGAAAACTATCTAATTGATAAGAAAAATAAACCAAATTGTTTTGTTTATTTTTGAAACCAAAAAAAATTAAAATTTAATTGTTTATTTTTAATGGTTTGGAATTATATTTATAAAATTAAGACAGCATGACGTCACAAAGATCTTTTGATTTCATCATGCAATCTACACATGTTTGAGCATTGAGTACAATGGGTATAAAACAATACGTTTACGTTTTTCTCGTGAAAAACATTAAAAAAAATGTCTTTAAGTTTGAGCTTGACCTTCCCGAAAGATATTTTTTTTAAATAAAACAACAAAATAAATGCAACAGTTAGTCAGTGGAATGTGTCTTGTAATTTTGTTAAAAAGAAAACAATAACATAAAATGGCCCCAAAAACAAAAGGGGTCATTGATCCTCACTAAAAATTTACTTTATTTTAAAATCCTCTTATTAAAAAAGTGTTGTCTTTTTTAAAATATTCTTGAACGGTTGAAAGTGTGTGTGTGTGTGTGTGCATGTTGAAATAATTATTTATAAATTCTCATAATGTCACGTTAATAATGAATGATTTTTCTTTAAGAAGATCAAATCAAATAAGTTTTCCCTTGTTTAGCCTCCATAATAAATATTATTTTGTTGTTTCTTATTTATGTTTGTTGTTTACTTCAAAATTTTCGGTTTATTTTTTGTCAACAATTTTCCATTTAAGTGTTTCGTGTTGGTTTGATTGTTTACTAGTCTCATGGATGAGCAGCACATGCACATTTCCTGTCATATTTATTGTTTACATTTTATATGTTTATTATGATATAAATATTTACATACTTAAGAAAATAACAAACTATTTATTATTATTACTAAAATCAATAATTATTGAACTATTTTCGTGTTACACTTTTTATTTTCTAAACACTTTAATTAAAGATAATTCAGAAAAATTTAAATTGTTGAAATTTATTTTAATAGTTACCAGAAAGCTATAACAATCTTATCTAAATAGAGGTTAGATTACTATTTCAAGTGAAATAAAAAGTTGCATTTTATTTAAATATTTAAGAAGCACAGCGAATGCATTGCTAACACAACCTAAGTTACATTAACGGAGTTTATAACTAAAATGAGCTTGTAAAATGCAATTAATTAAATAACAATATAATTTATTGCCAACAATACTACATTATTGGGGAATTTTCATTGTCTAACACTTTTATCGTGTATTTTTTACAAACCGGTTATTATTACTTGTTAGTAAGTTGTTTACATCTTATTTTAGGATAAAATATGCAACTAACTTTTAAACCCCAGTATCTCGACTAGAAGCACCTGATAACAATGCAAATCGAAAATTCGAAGTAATGTTTGAAAAACAACGCTTTATAGAATCTAAAATGATTTTCGCAATCATAATCTACTCTATAGTCTAGTCTATAGTC